GTAACAAAATACACTTAGAATGACATTCTATATATATCTATATATAAAATACAAATAACCGCAAATATATATATAAAAATACATATAATTACTTAAAAGATTACATTAGTATACACGTAGAATTTAAATACCTATAAATGCATATATATAAAAATTCTACGTGTATATTTAAGTAATCTTTTAACATAATTATGTGATTTGATTAATTAAAATATGATTTACATGCCTGACAACACAGGGAGAAAGTGCAGAGAGTTTAATTCACAAGCACTATATTTGACCCTGTAACTCTCCAAGACACCATAAAACCTGTACATAGGGGCTACTGTTTTACTCAGGAGACTTCGGTGAACTCAAATATTAGTGTTTCAAAATGATACATTTTATTACAACAATGATATTGTAAGTAAAATTGACATTTTTTGCATTTTTTTACAAACGAATGGCACTTTTATGGACTATATTATTGTTGTAATATGTTTTACTGTTTTAAAACACTAATATTTGTGTTTAGTGAAGTCTCCCAAGAATAACAGTACCCCCCATGTAGAGGTTTTATGGTGTTTTGGAAAGTTAGAGAGTCACATATAAGGCTTGCATTTCATTTTTTTTGACATTGTAATTTGTCAGATTGGTTATGTTGCCTTTGAGAGCGTATGGTAGCCCAGGAATGAGAATTACCCCCATGATGGCATACCATTTGCAAAAGTAGACAACCCAAGGTATTGCAAGTGGGGTATGTCCAGTCTTTCTTAGTAGCCACTTAGTCACAAACACTGGCCAAATATTAGTTTTTTGCTTTTTTTCACACAAAAACAAATATGAACGCTAACTTTGGCCAGTGTTTGTGACTAAGTGGCTACTAAAAAAGACTAAACATACCCCACTTTCAATACCTTGGGTTGTCTACTTTTTCAAATGGTATGCCATTATGGGGGTAATTCTCATTCCTGGGCTACCACACCGTCTCAAAGGTAACATTACTAATCTGGCAAATTTCAATGTGAAAATGGAACGTTCTATATTTGACCCTGTAACTTTCCAAAACACCATAAAACCTGGTAATGAGGGGTTCTGTTGTACTCATGAGACATCACTGATTACAAATATGTGCATTTTCTTGCATTAAAACCTAACAGTATTATGACATTCACAGCTAAAATGTCAGACGGAAATACAAATTTAAAACAAAAATCTTATTTTCTCACTTTTTTAAAAATTTTATCCATAATAAATTATGTTCCATATATGAATAGTTAATGATAAATTAAAGCCCTGTTTCTCCTGAACAAAATGATATATAATAAGTGTGAGTGCACTTAATGTGACAGCGGTGAATTACGGTTGAACAGACATATAGCGCAAATTCCAGTTTTTGTTTACGTTTTGTTTTCATCAGAACGTGCACTATTGACTCCGTCCTGAAGGGGTTAACAAGGCTACTTAACCCCTTCAGGACGGGTGACGGACGAGGTCCGTCACACAGGGGAGACCCTTAACGACGGGTGACGGACCTCGTCCGTCACGCGGTAAAATTAACCCCGGATCGCCGCTATCGCGGCGATCGCGGGGTTAATGGTGCTCCCGGTATGCCTCTGCATTAGAGGCATACCGGGAGCACCCGGTCAGTCTGCCCAGCACATGTGCTCGCTCTGACCACAAGTCTGAGCGAGCACATGTGCTCTGAATACTTACCTACCGGCTCCCTGCACTTCCGGGTTCTGTGTGAAGTGCAGGGAGCCGGATCAGTGCTGATCCTGCCCCCTGCTGGAAAAAAAAATAAAGTTTATTTAAAGTCCCCCTTACCCATTTTAATAAAAAATTAACCCCTTCCCTGCCAATTGATCACTGACTACAGTGATCAATTGGCAGGGATTACATTTTACTATGATCTGATTTTTTTTTTTTAACCCCTGAGGGTTAATTCTTTTTTTTTTAACCCTCAGGGGTTAAATTAATTAAATTAATTAATTAAATTATTTTTTAATTATATATTTAGATAGCTGGGGTGGGTGGAAGTTAGTGGGGAATTGGGGGATTTGGCGTTAGGCTAACTAGGGGTTAACGTTAAAAAAAGTTTTAAAAGAAACTTTAAAAAGTTAAAAATTAAGCTTAAAAAAATGTTTTAATAACATTTAAGTAAAAAAAACAAAAAAAACACACTTTACCTAGTCCAAATAAAAATTAACCCCTTCCCTGCCAGTCGATCACTGCCTACAGCGATCAAATAGAGATCACAGTATTATACTGTGATCTAATTTTTTTTAACCCCTGAGGATTAACTTTTATTTATTTTTTTAACCCTCAGGGGTTCAATTTATTTAATTAATTAATTTAAATATTTTATAACTATATATTTTGCTAGCTGGGGTGGGTGGGAGTTATGGGAAAATGGGGAATTTACTGTTACTGCTGCGTACTGCTAGTTAGGGGTTAACGGTAAAAAAAAAGCTTAGAAAAATGTTAAATCTGTAAAAAAGTTTTAAGAAAGTTTAGGAAAGTTTAAAAAAAATTTATAAGCAAAACAAAAGTTTAAAAACTAGTTTTTAAAAGTAAAAAAAGTTATAAAAAGTAAAAAAATACATTTTAAAAACGCTCATTACCACTACACCTGGAGCAAACTAGAGAAAAAATTATCCCACGCCAAGGTTCAAAATATGCCTTTTGAATTACCCCAGGGTGTATTCTTTAATAAATAGTATGTGTTTGTGGGGAAGTTTCAATAACCAACCGTCTAAACTACTCCAAATTGGAACATATACCTGGCAAAGGTACATACGGGGGTATTGCTGTACTCAGCCGACATAGCTGAGCAACATATGAACTATTATACAGTCGTAGCACACATAAGGTTTGCAAAATATACTGTGCAAACTCACTTTGTATGTCAAAAAGGCAGAAAAAACGCTTATTACCACTACATCTGGTACAAGCTAGCGTAAAAATGATCCCACGCTAAGGTTCAAACTATACCTTTTGAAACACCCTGGGGTGTCTACTTTAAGAAATGGTAGGCCTTTGTGGGGTAGTTTGAATTTAAAACCTGCGAAGATGCTTGGAAATTGCACATAGGCCCAGCGTCAAAATTCAAAGTTTGGTAAAAACGGATATGGCTTGGTCTCCTATATGGCACTGTAGCTTCACGAAATAGTGCCAAAGACATTCATATGGGGTGTCATTTTACTCAGAAGACTTAGCTGAGCATAATTTGGGGGGTTTGAACTTAGTGGCACATATGAAATATACAAAACGCCCAGCAAAAATGCAATCCGTATGTAAAAAATGCACAAAATTATTTTTTACCACATACTTTGGCATATATTGGTGAAAAAATGGGGGCATGTTAAGGCACAATATGCACCTTATAAGATACCCTGGAGTGTCTACTTTTACAAATGGTAGGCCTTTGTGGGGGTTTTTTGAACAGTCAAACTGTTATAATACCCCAAATGGAAGCTAAGGCTCATTAAATCCATCTCTCAAAATTCTACTGTGAATACTGTAAAGGACAGGTCTCCTATATGGCACTGTAGCTTCACGAAATAGTGCCAAAGACATTCATATGGGGTGTCATTTTACTCAGAAGACTTAGCTGAGCATAATTTGGGGGTTTGAACTTAGTGGCACATATGAAATATACAAAACGCCCAGCAAAAATGCAATCCGTATGTAAAAAATGCACAAAATTATTTTTTACCACATACTTTGGCATATATTGGTGAAAAAATGGGGGCATGTTAAGGCACAATATGCACCTTATAAGATACCCTGGAGTGTCTACTTTTACAAATGGTAGGCCTTTGTGGGGGTTTTTTGAACAGCCAAACTGTTATAATACCCCAAAATGGAAGCTAAGGCTCATTAAATCCATCTCTCAAAATTCTACTGTGAATACTGAAAAGGACAGGTATCCTGTATGGCACTGTAACTTCACGAAATAGTGCAAAAGACATACAATGGGGGTGTCATTTTACTCAGCAGATGTAACTGAACACAAAATAAAACTTTGTACAGGAATAGCACACACCAATTTTACAAAATATACACGAGAATTTCTCTGTTATAAGTTTGTGTGCCAAAAACCAAAAAGAACACAATTTTACTCCAATATTTAGCAGAGGTTGGCGGTGAAATGGCTACGTAGAAAGTGTCAAAACAACCTTAGGTAAATAGCCCATGATGTCTACTTTATATAAATATATACTTTTGTGTGGCAATTTTGTTTTCTTTTATGGCTATTAAGCTTACAAGACAAACATACCAAATTCTAAAATCGCTCCACATTAAAAGTTTATTTTACTCCTTGTGCTTTGTGACCTGTAACTACCAAAAAAAACTTAAAATCCCAGACACATTATATATTCTGTAAATCAGAACAAATAAATAAATTTATTTTTAATTACTTTCCTTAACCTGCACTAATTATGCACACATTATTATTGCAAAAACTGTAAAAAAAAACAATATTTTTCATTTTTTTTGCATTTTTCTGTATTTTTTTTATAATAAGTAAGCATTTATATATATATATGTTATATCAAATTAAAGCCCTTTCTGTCCTTTTAAAAACAGTATATAATATGTGTCGGTGCAATAAATGAGAGAGATGCAAATTGCAGTTGAACGCAAACAGCAAGAAAATGCAAAAATTGCTTGTGTCATTAAGCGTAAGTCAAGCTTCTGAAGCTGTGTCCTTAAGGGGTTAAAATCACCTATCTTAGCAAATAAATATGGGGATTCAGTTCCACCACATGGTCATATTGTTTTAGCCCACCACTACGTCACAGTACCACTAATTTCAGTACCCCTAATTACAGTACACTAATTTCAACATGGGTGATTTAAATGCTAACGTGCAATACTTACTTGCAGTATAAATTGGTTTAAGAGACTCAATTTAAGCTTTCCTGTGTTCACCTCCAAAGGAGCACCCATAGTGGATGGGTGGGGTACTCAGCCGTAAACCACGCAGTGGTGCTACCGTAAAGACCAAAACATAGACAAAATACAGTTAAAGGAACAGCGCGCACACAAACAAAAATAGAGCTTTACATTTAACGATATGGCCATATGGAGGAACTGAATGCCCATGTTTATTTTCTAAGATAGGTAATTTTAAGTAGCCTTGTTAAATGTAAAGCTATATTTTTGTTTGTTAGTGCACTGCTCCTTTAACTGTATTTTATCTTTAGACTTAACACTGCCCATTAGTCTGCATATTGAAAGGAGAGAAAGAAAATGTTAGTGAAAAGGTAACAGGTAATGTTTAGTAAGCAGTACGAATACATTAATCTTATCTACATGTCAGATTCACAGAGGCATCAACGCATCCTTTATTTCCATCACGAAAACTGTATTTGAATACATTCAAAGAAAACACATGAAATCAGAATAAATAACCCCATAATTAGATATTGTCCAAATTACTACCAGTTGGAGAAACCAATATCTTAATATTTACCAATATTTATTAATTTCTACAAGCAATATAAAATAGTTGTATTTGCTTTCTTTGATTAAGATTGTGTTTCTGTTGTAACTGTAATTTTTAAATACCAGGAGGTCCTTGAGGAAGTCCTTAATAGGACGAAACGCGTAGGACCTGGTATCATATTAGCTTATGATTTTATACTTATTTTTATAAAAAAAAGCGGAATTTTTATTCTTCTACCCTGAGTCCGGTTTCATCATCCACTAAAGCAGGAGGAGTGGATTTGACCCACTATTTCCATCAGGGGAGGCACCCTTGGGTGATATTCTCTCATCTTTCTTGTGAGTGTTATCCAATATAGGGCATTTACACTTACCCAACAGTGTTACGCGATTATTTTTTATTTATGTTGTAGATCTGCAGCTGTATCCTCTCTTGTTTGTATGCATACAATATAAAATAGTGTCTGAGAAATGAGAAAGTTCATCTTGATTACATTCACAATTGCATAGCACCACTGCCATACACCCCCTTTAAATCTGCACATTATTACTTAAATGACAAAACTAATTATATAAAATAAAAAATATCCAAAATCAGATAACTGCACTAAATAACGGTGAACACTTTGAGACCAGATGCACCAATTGCTCATTCACATAATCCCATTTGATATATCCTTGAATAATAAAATTTTGGAGTAAATTTTGGACAAACGTTTGTAATGAAAAAATGTGGTTAATCCAATAAAAATATATTTTTTTCTCTAAAAAGTTACTGAGCATATTTTCTGCTGGATTCACTGTTGTGGTCTTACAGAATGACTTTTTAGATAACTGGTATTTCTGCTTTTTAGAAATTGGCATGTACTAGTTTGAGCAAATCTTGCAAAGAACATACAGAAAAGTAAACCCAAACCGGATTGTCGCTAGATTTCCGATGTTTTACCAATGTTCTCTGTGTGTGATACATTTTCCCACAGGCTGGTTTAAGGTATTTTAAAGAAAACTCTTTGAAATAAAAATCGGTTAATATTCGTGTTTTTCTTTTCTTTTTTTCCCCCCAAAAAATGTTTCCCATCCCTACTTCAACCTTCTTGTCCAGTGACGAGTCAGCGAGACATTCTGAAAACAGCCCACATCCGGAGTCACGAAATGCCATATCTGCCAGCCTATCAGTTTGTCAGGGGAAATGCAGTCCTTGACAGTTGGTTTGCCAAACCTAAATCCAAAATCTATTTATGTTTGTAGTGTGAGACTAAGGGTTCTTTTTGTTTTAATATATAATTTTTATTAGTTTTCAATTATACAAACATTTGATGACATACACAAAACTTTAAGCCAGCAATAATTTATCCATTGACATTATTTTAATTAATGTTAGAGACAAGTAGGACATCACAGAACATAAACAGAAAAAAGAAAAAACAGATCTAAGTTCCCTATGGATAGGAGGAGGCGGAAAAGAAGGTTGACCCAGTCATGTTCAAAGATGAAAACCACAAGATGAAATGTTTACCGCTTAACATTATGGGAGGGTTCCTCTAACTTGTAATTTCTCAACCTGTTCCAACCACTTTTATACAGATCATGTGATGTTCTACAAATGCCCATCTCCATTGAGATTTGGTAAAGAATTAGAACTTTGACCTGTTGCCAACAAGGGGCTATGACCATCTTCCAGCAATCAACATCTTGGCAGCTGCCAAGGTGTGCATCACAATAGTTGAAGCGGTACCAAATTTGTTTTGTATGTTTAATTGTAATAGCAGAAGTCTGGGGTGGAAATCAATAGTTTTTGAAAGTAGAGTTTTAATTTTCCAAAATAGTTTGATAGGTTACCATTTCCACCATATATGCAGGAAATATCCTCTGTGAACTAATCATCTCCAACATCTATCTGAGGCGTTGGGGTAAATCCTAGACAACCTACATGGGACCAGGTACCATATGTTTTAAAGTTTATAATGGATCTCTGACAGATTTAAGCAATTAATATTTTAATTGACAATTTTTTGTTATTCTGTCCATTCCTCACAGCTAGTATATTTTTTTTGTTCTTGCTGCCATTTTTTTTAATCACAGGTAGAATACGGTTTGTCAGGGTCTCCCTTCATCAAATCCATACAGCCTGCCACTCGTTTACTCTTTTTCATACTCATTTTTTCGAATTTAATATGTTTGACAGGTCTATCCATAGTTACATGTTCTTGAAGATAACCTTTTATTCTAATATAATTAAAAATGTCTTTATTATATAGACAAAAATCAGAATTTAACAAAGCGAAGTCCTTAACCCTGTTATATTGCAGCAGTAGATTTCCAATTTTAGGAAGGCCAGACTAAGCCAATTAGAGAGATTTAGATCAGCAACATTGTACATCAGTTGAGTTAAAGGAAGACCTAAAAATGTTTAACTTGGAGGTGACTGGCCCGCTGAGTTTTTCCAATGTGTTCAAAAACTATACTTTTTGAAGAGATCTCTATACAATATTTTCATTTTTGTCCGCCAAAATATTGATCCCAACTCTTTAATAGTATCACTAGATTTTGTCAAGCACATTTCAATTTCATACCAGATTTCCTCTTTGACATTCTCAAATTGAGTATAAATAATATGTGCTAACATACAAGCTTTCCAGTAGTCTTTTAGCTGGGTTAAACCTAGACCTCGAGTGACTTTCAGTGATAAGCGACTGACACGGATACGGGGGTGTTTGCCTAGCCATATAAATTTGTTGAATATAGATTGAGTCAGATTCAGCCAACTATCTGGGCAGGACATGGGGATCATACGGAATAAATAGATCCATTTTGGAAGAATATAACATTTTATGATATTTATTCTCCCCCACCATGAGAGTTCCCAAGATTTCCATTCTTTGAATTTTTTACTAGTATATTTTAGTAAGGACATAAAATTAACCTCCATTAGGTTAGAGGGATCTCTCGTACTTTCAATTCTTAAATATGTAAAAGATGAAGAGGAGCAATTCAGCCCAAAATGATCATATAATAATTTTCTCATCTCAGGAGATAAATTAACCATCAGAGCAGCAGATTTACTTTTATTCAATTTATACCCAGAGAGTATCGAAAACTCATTAATGATCGTCATAAATTTATCCATAGAAGAAATTGGGTCACAAAGGGTCAAAACTACATCGTCAGCGTACAGTGTGATTTTTACACGGTTTAAACCGGAAAACCTTTGATTTGATTATCTGCCCTAATTGCCATGGCCAAAGGTTCAATTACCATTAAATAAAGTATGGGGGAAAGTGGGCATCCCTGCCTAGTTCCATTCTGCAGCTGGAACCATTCTGATGAAAAGCCTGCACCCATTACTCATGCCATAGGAAAAGAATATAAGGCCATTATAGATTTGACTATATTTCCACAGAGACCAAATACCTCAAGAACCTGACCGAGGAAATCTGTCGAAAGCCTTCTCAGCATCCAAATACAGAGTCAGTAGGGAGACCCGGTCATGGTGCGCATTGTCCAGTATGTCTATAATTCTTCTGACTAAAGGTTCTAGGTTGGAAAATCTGACATGACATGTCACATGCTTACCAAACAATTGAGTTTGTAGGTAATGCCATTTTTCTTAATAGCAATATTTTTTGTGTCAAACATAGTGGGTTAAGTCAAAACCTTCCAATTAGCATTGACGTAATCTGGATTTTGCGTATAAAGCGGCAGAAAGATGGATTGTTTAACCGAAGAGGTGCCTGAAACATGTATTTAGGTTACCCCACCCTCCAATAAACAGTAAAAAGACAAGACTTACTTACTGCGCCTCCCTGGTTGAGATCATCAAGATTGAAAATGTATGTATGTAATACATCTCAATAAAGATCATTCAGCATCATCATGCATAGCGTAAAGATTGCAGAAATGAAATACAGAAGGGACTCCAGTAGTCGTCTGAGTGACGGCAACTAGAGGTGTTACTATGGAACGAGGTAAACACTGCTTTTTCGACATACACTTTCTAGTTCCATAATATAATATAAATACATTACAATCTGCAAAGTGGATAACCATATATCATTTTACATTGCTTTCTTAGTGCTAGAAAGTTAATTAGGAGACGAGGAAGGTGTAGTGTGAGCTGCGTCAGTAGCTCTATCCACTATTAGAACATAATTAAAAGGAACAATGTGTTCAAATTTCAGCACATTCCATTGGTTTCCCTGGTCCTTTTTCCACTTTTAGCAAAAAAATGGAAACTTAAAAAAAAAAAAAAAAATTTAAAAAAAAATGACTAAAGTCAATCTAAACAATGTTTAGGAAAGGTCGATATGGATTAAAATAGATCTCCAAAAAGGAGTATAATAATCTCAATCATATTATGGTATATTAGAAAAAAATATAGTTATATAAGGTTTTAAAAATATATCATTGATATAACTACAGACTAAGAAATTGAGAGCACCTCTTGAGACACTAAAAAAGACTTCACAATGAGCGTTTGCTTTGGTTATTTTTTTTCTGTTTATTTAAAACAGCTGCTAAGGCAAGACTAGTGGGTGAAAGGGGGTCTAGGCCTCAGGTAGAAAGACCATTAGTAAACCTTCAGCCCAAAGAGATACGGCCAGATTTACTTTGTCGCTGTCATTTTCCAGAGGCAGGTCTTTAACGCACACAGGATTGGACTCCCAGATTAGGGTTAAAGCATCCCTGTGAGAGAGAGGAAAACGCAGACCAGCAACCTGGAAAAAGAAAAAGAAATATGAAATGTATTTGAAGTAAATAGGGAATAGTGAATAATTCACAAAGGAGATACAGATTTAAGGCCAAAGTAGCTGAGCAGGACAAAATGACTGTGAGAGATAAAAAGGATTAGTCACTGGAGTGTGGAATATCTGGAATTCAAAGTAAGATTCACATTTTAGACCAGAATAGCTTAGCTGGAAACAAAGCTGGAGAATTTCTTCAGTTTAGTTATTTAGGCCGCAAATGTGAAATTCTCTTCAAATTCCTAGAAATTCACGCAAACGATGTTCGTGAATAATTCCAGAAGTGGCAGTAAGAAAAATGTATTCAAACTTTGAAAAACAACAACAGTTCTGAAAACAAGAAAAGTGATATTAAAGAATCCACTTTGTTTTTGGAAGAAAAACACAAGAATATATACTGTACATGTGAGGAAGAACGGAGTGGGTGGCATTGTGTCACTAGCAATGATATAGCGCCCTCTGCTGGCTTTGTGTGACACTGAGGAAAGCAGGTGTCTGCACCTTGAAGCTACACACAGGTGAAGAAGCTTGGAAAACCAGTTTTTCCGCTAAAGACTAAAAATGCAGGCCATCTCATAATATATCAGCATTTCCCCTGCAGGAGAGATATTTTCTTAATTTTAAATGTGCTCCGGGAATACTGTAAACACATGTTATCTGAGGATTATAAAACAATGACAATAGGAGGATACATGTTCTGTTTGTGGTCTCTAAATACTCAAACCCGCTCGGTGATAAAACAGTGGGATAAGTGTACAATCGCAGCCAATACTGTGGCATTGATATACATATACACATATACACTATGTATGCATAATGCATGCAATATGGTATGAGTCCTTTAATTCCCAGAAGGTCATGCTATGTAGTACAAGTTATATTGTTGAAATCACTGGTACAGAGCCTGTCGGGGAGGCAGGGCAAATGGGAAGAGCTTTACCCTCTGACACAAGGCATTGAATGAGCAGGTAAATTAAGGTAGAGGTTATTGTCAATCACTGCAGCAATAAGCAACTATCTGCAAAGAGCTGGGCCCAGGGGTCCTCCTTGCACCATTACCTGTGCAAGGAGTATAAATTGGGGTTTGGAGTGTTTTTTTTTTATTTTTATTTTTTTTAAATGTATTTAACAGCAAACTGCAGGAAAAGGAAACTGACAACATTGGAAACTGGTTAAAAAAAATGTAAATAAAAAAAAAAATCTAGACAAACACATTTCTACATTTCTATACTTGTTTTGCTCAAAGTGAAATACTTACAGAACGAGAGTCATCACTCACTCCCATCATGTGAGTTTCTCGCTCATTCTTCAAGGAGTGATACACATAAACCATTAATTCAGTGGCACTATCCTACAATTGGGACAAAAATACAAATTATACAAATTACTGAGTGTACAACGATCACTTTCAGACTGCATTATTTACACCATGTGTCTAGGTCAGGGACTAGAGCAATGACTACGCACCTTGGTACTCCAGGTGTTTGCAAACTGCATTTCCCATTATGCCCAGCCATTTAGGCTGGCTGAGCATTGTGAGAAATGCAGTACCCAAATATGTCGGGTGACAAAATAGTCAATGTTGTAGGGTGTGTCCTGGCCAGGGTCTTTGGTGTTCCTGAAAAACCCTAAGTCCAATTTTAGTTTATTTTAATTTTCAGCCCAGTGTCTCCCTTAAAAACGCAATTGAAGGTGTTCTGTTTCGTGTCAGTAACATGACTTGTAAAAGTAATAAAACAACAGATTGCAGATTGCTGAATACACATCTAGTGATCCTCTCAGTTATGTAATTATGGAATGTGTGCGTAGAATATATTTAGATAAAGAAATCCAAAAACCTGCACTCCGGGATGTTGCTAAATATTTCAGCCCGGTACTGGTCTGCAAAGTTATCCAAACTACATCAGTACGATCGCACTCCAGGGACTTCAAAATGTTGGTAAAACTTAAAGGGATGCTATAGTCACCAGAACATCTACAGCTTATTGAATTTTAGAATCATTACCTTCAGACTTTTTGCTGTAAACACGGTCTTTTAGGAGAAAATGCAGTGTTTACATTACAACCTAGTGATTGCTTCACTGGCCACTCCTTAGATGACTGTTAGAGATCCTTCCTAGGTCATGGCTGCCTAAAATGCATCCAAACATTCAGTGTCTCCTCCCTCTGCATGCAGACACTGAACTTTCCTCATAGAGATTCATTGATTCAAATCATCTCTATGAGGAGATGCTGATTGGCCAGGGCTGTGCTTGAATCATGCTGACTCTGCCCCTGATCTACCTCCTTACCAGTCTCAGCCAATCCTATGGGGAAGTACTGTGATTGGGTCAGGCCATCACTTCTGATGATGTCAACAGACTTCTTGTTTTTTTTAAGGCAAACAGCATGCAGATCTACAGCTTCAGGCTTGAATACAGTAAGATTTTGCTGTATTTATGGAGGCTTGTGGGGCCCAGGGGGCTAGACGGTGGTTTTAACACTATAGGGTCAGGAATACATGTATGTAATGGAAGAGGCTTTACAATTTACCCTTGGAGTACTGCCCCTTGTCTGGTTGCCAGCAAAAACGTCCCTGGTCGTGCCATTTGCATCATGAAGGCAATTAAGTTTTGTATGAAGGGATGAAATTTGGCATATGTCACCTACAGTAAATCCTGAACACCTAACATTACCCTGTCTGCAGGTTCTTTTAACTCAGAACAAAATGTGACAATACACGTAAAAAAATGCACTTTTTAATTACTAAATCTGAATGTCTGCCATAAAATTTTTCCGGCTTTCAAAATAGTCACCTGGGCAGCTATTCCCACTAGCAATTTGCAGATAGTGTGAAGATTCACATTACAGGTGTGCCAATTTCTAATTATAAGAGATTAAATTGATTTAAGGGGCTGCGCTGGGACTTTTATCATCTGTACACAAGCATGATAAGGAAAATGTGCTTAGCAAGAAACAAACATTGTGCAATGTTTTCCCAGCATGCTCCGAAACCCCTTGGGACAGAGAGGAATCTTACTGAGCAACATTCTTTTCTTAAATAAAATGATTACTACCCAAAATATTAATTTAGCAAAATGTACTAACAACTTTCCTGTAAAATGTAGGCAAAAATAAATATGGAAGTTGCACTGAATTCTGAGTCTCAAATGGAAAATTGAGTGGCTAATGATGCCCCAATGATGCTGTCAGAGGTGGAGTTATACCCCCAGGAGTGAAGGGGATAAACTCAATATTTGCAGCATTTCATAGGCAAACGCTGCACATAGAGACTCCAAGCTCCATTACCACTTCAAATCACTGAAGTGGTCATGGTGTTTGAAAGAACCCTTTAAGTGTTTACATATGCACCTAAATCTGCCCCCTGCACTCCACACAAGAGGCCGGGGTGCTAATGTCTACAGGCATCTCAATGATGTCAACAAGGCCAAGTATGTACGCACACACAGATACTCACAGAAATGTTTGGAACATGGTCTACGGTGATGGCTGTATGATCCTGGTATTGCAGTTTGATTATACTGTCAAGCTTTGGGGGAGATTCAACTAAAAGACAAGGAAAGAAAACAAACTTTATAAAAACAATACTTTCTCCCATAAGTCTGTGCTTCACTTTAATTCATAAACCATGAGTCCTAAACTGTGTGAAATCAATTCTTACTACCAAGTTCCCATCGCACTTAATCCATCACAACAAAATCAATATGGCCTGATAATACTGCTCATTTTTGACAGCCATCAACTTAATTGCCTTCCCCTCTACCTATGATCTATACCTTCGTTTTTGCTCATAAGTAACATTACGCGTTCTCTATGTATGAGTACATCTAATCATTTATGGCACTTTCTTCAAACCCCTTGCATTTTAATAATTGATCTTATTTTTTTTTAAATGCCCCAGATAATGGCACTACATGAGAAATATAAAATAAATACTAACAATATATATATATATATATATATAAATAAATAATTTAAGTGAACAGACCAGTGAAGACTAATAGTTAGTACAATAGTGGTCTAAAGATTGGAGTGGTATCTTGGGGACATTAAGACAGAAGGCCATAACAGGAAGCTCTGTGCACAAGAGCTAATGTGCTAGAGGTTGGGCACCACTCGTGTCACTGATTACCAGTCTTATCATTCTAAATATAAAATCACTGGGACAATAATTCATTTGAGATGCAGATACAGATTAACTTATGTAGGAGCATTAAAACGTTATTATTTTGTGTAAGCCATTCCTTAATCTATATATTGTATATACTTTGTTCTTTACTGAGAAATGTATGTTCCGGGTTTGCCCTCAATTCCATTTTTTTCGTAATTAGGAGCCTTAACAACTCTTACATGGTGGAAAGCACATCTTTTGTCTACTTCAATGGCTATGAGATACCCTGATCTTTGGGGTATTGTCCTCTGGCCGAAAGACCAGACTGAGGAAAACTTATTTAATAACAGCCAAGAAAAGAATCCATCTAGATATACCGGTGTTTTTGTTGTCAATGGGATTGGTGGTCACTGATCAACCTAAAATGATTTAGTGATTCCTGGAGGCGGACAAGAAGCTGTAACAGGCTATGATGACACTACTATGCAAACTGCTTCTATAGCAGTGGCAAACAAAATCGAAGTATTTTGCATCCAAGAGTTTGAGCCACTTCCTAAGGTCAAGGTCCTGAACGGAAACGAAACTGAGGTTGTGTTGATTATGGATAGAGCTGTAATGCCTTACTGGAAACCTTCAGCAGTTTTTATATATATATAGATTTTATTACATTTTCAGGGGACGTAGAAGAAAATAAATAAATAAAAGGAATAGATCATTATGCTAACGTAAAAGTAAATTAAAGAAATGGAGAAGAAAAAAATTATTTAGAAGGTAATGAGCATAGCCACATATAATGTAGGTGGTCCCATCTACATTTACTTGTCTCAAAACAGAAGTTTTTTTTACAGCCCTTCTGGGAAGCCTGAACATCATTTTAAGATGTTTCCACTCTGCCATAATCAGTTCTGATAAAGACTCATGGACAGGAAATTCCTATAGAATGTCCCTGAAAAATGTGTCCCATTTCTTATCAACCTCTGAAATCTTTCATTGCCAAGGTTAACCAAACCCACAGATGAGTTTATTAACTCTTCTTGAGAAAATAAAAGCTACAATGCAGTTCACTCTAATAATGGGTAGAAACTTTGTCTTTTGTTTCTAACTAATCCTGATAATGATATGTGCTTGGTATTTTGAGAGCTGACATGTAAAGGACTGCTGAATAGCATAACATGGAGATTAGATTTATAGATTAGAATTGAGAAAAAATTAGTTTGAAGCAAATCACTTAAATAAAATGTCTTAATTTACACCAGACCACATCAATCTCACTTGTAGAATCTACAGGTACAACAAGTTGCAATTGATTTGTTTGACAATTGCCAGGAATTTTATTTGGATGAATCACTTAAATTCTTTTGCATATGCTTGGTAGCCCACCAACCATTTTTAATTCACTGCCAAACATAGAAGCCCACCAATCATATTACTCTTTGCAGTGAAATTTGGCAAATCACAGGAAAGAAGGTAGATACCTCAAATACTTTAGAAGACAAATGCTAAATTGCAGTGAATATTAGGTTTTGTGAATCCCTTTGTGGAATTCTCTTAAAGACTAACGTACCTGGTTTTCCGGTAGTTTCATTTCCATTCATTGCAGGAGACATGGAGGAGTTCACAAACGGAGGTAGTCTACTGGCCATGAAATCCCGGATCATTCCACAAGATCTTATGTCCTTGTTGGTTTCTAGTCTACTGGCCAAGTTCAAGAGAATTGTACGTAGATGATCTACAACACTGGAAGCATCAGCCTGCTAAACAGGTCAAATGATAATGCAGAAAAACATATTTAATACATTGATATGGATAACAATGAATGTGAACAATGGGCCATAAAGACTACTAGCTGTTGATGTTTATTAACACTATAGGGTTAGAAACACAAACATATTCACCATCTAGCCCTTCTGGCCACACTAAATATAGTAAAATCTTATTTGTATTCCAGTCTGCTGCTGCTGTCTCTGCCTCTGATCTGGTTGCTTGGCTGACATAATCAGAAGTGATGTTCTGAGCCAGTCCCAATGCTTTCACATAGGAATGCTTTGGATTGGATGAGCATGTTAAGGAGGCAGATCAGATGCAGAGCCAGCACAAGCCAAACACAGCCCTGGCCAATCAGCTTCTCCTCACAGAGATGCATTGAATCAATTAATCTCTATGAGGAAAGTTCAGTGTCTCCATGCAGCACGGCCACAGAGATAACCTCTAGCAGTGGAATTATCCCTAGGCTCTAATGTAAACACTGCATTTCCTCTGAAAAAAAAAAAAACAGTTTACTGCAAAAAGTCTGAAGGTAATGATTATACTCACCAGAACAAATACAATAAGCCGTAATTGCTCTGGTGACTATAGTGTCCCTTTAACTGTGCAATGTGTCTAAAAAGCTCAATTTGTCATATTGCATAAAATAGTTTGCAGTAGAAAAACATATTGTATCTAATATCCATTTACTACTCAGATATAAATTTCATTCTAAAAGCCATGTGCATCCCTCTACTAACACCAAGCATTGAGTTAAACTTAAAAGAACAACTATAGCCACCCAGACCACTTTAGCTTAATGAAGTGGTCTGGGCGCCAGGTCCATCTAGGGTTAACCATGCCTGCTGCAAACACAGCAGTTTCAGAGAAACTGCTATGTTTACATTAGGGTTAATCCAGCCTCTAGTGGCTGTAGTTGCCGCTAGAGGCGCTTCCGTGCTTCTCACTGTGATTTTCACAGTGAGAAGACGCCAGCGTCCATAGGAAAGCATTGAGAAATGCTTTCCTACGCACCGATTGAATGCGCGCGCGGCTCTTGCCGCTCACGTGCATTCAGCAGATGACGTCGGGAGAGGGAGGAGAGAAAGGTAAGAATTTAACCTCTTCCTCTCCCTTCAGCCCGGCGAGAGTGGGGGACCCAAAGACCCTATAGAGCCAGGAAAACTAATTTGTTTTCCTGACACTATAGTGGTCCTTTAACTCAATATTATAGTTAAGAGAACAGTTAAGTCTTGTCACAGCTAAAGTTCAAACTTCAAACATTACACATTTTATTCAGAGCTGACGGCCAATTTCAAACATAACTCAGAACCCATGTTAGAAGTTTATTTAATACTAGGGTGTTTTAAAATAGACACTGTAAAGGGGGAGGGGATGATTTTCCAGAGAACAATTCAACTTACAATATTAAAAACTCTGTTCTCCTGCCCCAAAGTGAAACAATACTGGAATGAGTTTGGGGACTTACTACACAGGGTACTAAATAGACACGTAGATATTGACCCGTTGACGTAACTACTTGATAAAGACAGACAACAGTCTACAGACACGCAAACAAAAATTACTAAACAAACACGTTGGCTGCCAGAAGAGCCTTAGCTAAAAAAAATGAAAATTATATATATATATATATATATATATATATCCTCATGGATAAACTGACTGCACAGGTTTGCAACAGAATGGCAGCCCTGGGAAGACTAGTGTGAACATATGGGGATTTAACCCTTTCTACCTCTGAGAGCCACCTTCATCCAGCAGAGATACCCCCCTTACTTCCCATCTAATATATCTCTCTCTCTCTCTCCTTACCTTTTTCTAGACCATCTTGCCTCAATGTATTATAAAATGTGAGGCTGGCTATATAGTACTACGGATTTAATTTAACAGAGGAGATAGCTGGCACCGATGTATAGAAATAATGACGTGACTATCGCCTTAATATACCGTATGTTCTAACTACTTATTGATGCCATCTTAAACCTGTTTTATCCAGAATGTATAACCTGTAAGCCTGTTCTCCTAAATAAAGAATTTAAAAAAAAAAAAAATTAAATTCTAGTCTTCAAAAAAAAAAAAAGTATTTTTCAGAGTGAAACTATAAATAATTAAAAATGCAAACATTTTATTGCCTTTGGCCAGAGATACACTACAGTGAAACTTACAGATCAGAAGGAATCAGGTTCTCATTACAACACAAAATACTGCCTTTGTATCATCTCTCGTCAGCCGTGAAATATCCTGTTATTTACCATTAAAAGACGCCTTGGAATGCCTCTTCGCAGTTCAATGTTGTCATTTGCCGAATCAAACAGAATCCCAGGAAAAACATCTTGAAAGTAGTCAGCCCACGAGCTACGGAGTGAGGAGAGGAGAGCGGAGTATAAGGCATGTGTATAAATGTTCAACGTTCTTTTACTGAATCACACTTGCAGGGTTTTTCACTAATCTGAGAATTCAAAGTGAATTTCACATTTAAAGTGAAATGAAAAGTTCTCTAAGTCAGCTATTGTCAGCTCTGCTTTCAGTTTGGCTACCCTGGCCTAATATTTGGATTGTACTTTAAATTCACTTTGATTTCTTTCTTTAGTAAGTAACCCTGTTAGTAATAGCAGTCAATACTTTCTATGTCAGCAAAGACTAACCAGGGAGCACATGGTTACAATACAATACAAGCTGAATTTGAAACATTGATACCCAGTAATATAAGCTAAACAAGTCAATCAAATTTAGTTTTCCAAGAATAGTATAACTGCTTTTGATCCAACAGAAAATAATTATTTAAAAAAATTTTTTTTTTAAATCCCAAAACAATTTGAAGTCATTTTTCCCACATATAGGGGGAAGAATCCTTCTTGACTTTAAAACGGCAATCAGCAAGCTGTTACTACACACATTAACTATTATATCCTTGAATTTGAAAAAAGCTGCGGAAAAATCAAAACATCCAGATCTGTCCAGAATCTGATACAACTTATTTAGGCAGAAAATATTTCCTTATAAACACAACGGATCTGATAAAATATTACTTAGACTTACCAACCAGGGGAACATTACTAGTACACACATATACTCATTGATCTCTTTATTAGGTAATCCTATCTACCTGTCCATCCAGAACAATATTAACTTCACTCCGTGGATACAAAAAGGAGATGGACAGATTCTATATAGAGTTTGACACAACCTTATTTAACACATTGTTCATACTGCAATCCGACATTTTCGATATATGAACCTAGAGGCCAATAGATTAACCTAAACAAACCGAAATGTTTGATGATGATGTGTTGTGATATTATTTAATATCCTGCTCAAAGCTTGAACATAATTGGTGTTCGGCAGTAAGGGATGCAGGTGATGAACAATTTGTGGAATTCAAATGGTGCTCCACTACCACTCAAGGGCTCAAAACCAGAAAAATGAATAAACTGCAGAAATACATTTATAATACATACATTTATATATATCCAAACAGAATGAGGAAACAGAGTTCGAATAAACATATGTGAACTATAGAATAAACTAGTTTTAATTATTCCGGCTGTTCCGTGGAGGTGCACTCCAAGTCACCCACATTGGTATTTTCACAAGATAATTTAATTAAGGAAACAGTTCTCATATTCTGCATCACACTTTAAGTAGATCGATCTCAACAGCTGAATCTGTGTGGAAATATCAAAGAGTGATATCTGTGCCTTTATAATAGGATTGCTTATATAAAACAGGACAGGGGTGTGATGGGGAATCAGGAGGCAACCTGGGACAAAAAACATTCAATATGAAGTGACCTTTTTAAACTATAAATCACAAAATATCAGTCAAGGTGTAGAGTAGCTTGGGGGGCTGGCACAAGTACAGAGTCTGTCAATGTAACCAAGTCCAAAAAGCTTACGCAGCATGACGCCAGTGAATGACAAATACATTTTTTTTTTTTTAAATAGAAAAATAAAAAAAATAAAAGCATTTCCATACTGATCGTGGGAAATGTTACAAACTGTGACTGCAGTGTCCTTACTTGTTCTGGTAGGTGCTGATGGTCACATGAGTGGAATGTGATGAGCCAGCAGGGGTTTTAGCATGATGAATGACTCCTCTGGGGAAATAGAGAAAATCCCCTGGCTTTAAGAGGAAAGAAAACATGCAATGTGTAGTTGGTTTACAGCTCATACAGAACAGAGGACAGTAATGCTTTAAACAGAGATGAGGTGGTGACAAAAAGGTACAACTCTATATCTTAAGGTTCGATGTCACAAATCGTACCCCAACCCTTAATAAACAATAAAAAGTATACACTTCCTATCTTGTTTAACACAGATTACACCTGGTCTAGTTTAAGAAGGAAGAAGTGAGACGGTGAGGATTTTGAAAAGTGTTGCCAGTAGAAAAATTGGGCACGGTTCTAAAAGTGGATCATTCGCCATGGAGACCAACAGAATCAGCAATATCACGCTGCCATGTGATTGTTCCATGTTTAGAACTTTGAGACACTTTTTCCATTAGCATCCCCTATCGCAGTAGAAATCAGTTTAGAGCCAACTTAAGAGTCTGTCTATTGGCTAGGAATGAAAGGGAGAGTGTCTTCATACAGAAGCAATGAAATGTGCCATCATGCCAACTGCAGTCTCTTATACCATTATACAGGCACCGTGTAAATCATAAAGTACATCCTGAACTATGACTTTTTATTTTATTTAGATTTATAAAAGTATTAGGTCTATTAAGAATATGTTGTGTCTTCTTTTTTAGGCAAGAATAATAAGGTAAATTAAATGAGCAACACATTATAAAGCAGCGAACTGATGTTATTCACATCCTACTGAAAGTATAAAGAGAAAGCTGTAGGTATTATTGCGACACATGGTAATGTATCAAGTCACACCAGCACCATTCACGGTACCTTTAATGTGAACTCATGAGTCGGTGTGCCAATTCTGTCTTCTGTCTCTATAGCATACTCTCTCGCTAGCGGTACTGTGGGATTGTAGAGCTTCCAGCGTTTCTCTCCCTCCAGCTGAAGAATAAAAACCTGGAAATAAACAAGCAGAATGGTATTATTGAAAAATGAAAAACGAACTTGATTAGACATCAGGAGAGCGAAGAATGAGTCAAAGGTAACGTGCATTCGAATACTGGGCTGGCCCACATGCCATGTGAAATAGAAATGAATGAAAAATATGTTCAGGTTACAGTCCAGCCTTTGAACACCAGGACCATCTAGAAAGGACAGAGCAGAAGAGTGTCCTCTGTAATAGCATGCTAAAATGTCAAACAAGCACAAGAAGAAAGGAAAGAAAGAAAACCAACTCAAGTATTGTTTCAAAATGGCTGAAATAGTAGAACTGTACTTAAAGGGTTACTCCAAGCGTCAATGAATTGGAAGTGGTCATGGTGCCTGGAGTATGCATGTGCAGCAATTCACTATGAAACGCTGCATATACAGAGATTAAAGGGAAACTATAGTACCAGGAAAACAAAGTTGTTTTCCTGGCACTGTAGCTCCCTATAATGCCCCCCCTCCTTTCCTATAGTGCAGTAGGGGTTAAAAATTCCTTCTGTCACTTACCTGAGTCCAGCGTCGGTGTCCCTCGGTGCTGCCTAGTGTCCCAATTTTGCTCCTTTCCCGCCGACGTCAGCCGGCAGTGGAGACCTAATGTGTGAGTTCCCCATAGGAAAGCATTATATAACGCTTTCCTATGCGGTTTTGGGTGACACTAGATGTCCTTATGCATAGCGTGAGGACGTCCAGCATTTATCGACCAACAGTTGCCTAACATCCCTGCACGCTGTTACAGTGATATTACCTCAGCTCAGTAATATAGTAATGAAGTGACTGATGTCATTCCGTTCTAACACCAATGTACTGGCAGTGAAGCCGAAAGGAAGGTGCTGCAATAGAATAATAGATCTCCAAGAAAGACAGCACAAACTATAGATGATCTTCAACCAAATCTGAAACGTGTCTTTATGACACACATATATTTACTCTTAAGAGAGGCTTTGACTCCCCAAAAAGTGGAGCTTCTCTACCACACTCCACCCTTAACTGTAATTATTATTATTATTATTTTTTTATCTTTATATATTTTTTCTGATTTCTCTAACTCTCAAATGCTTCTTCTTTTGATACTCCAAGGCTACCTACAGTAGCAATCAAACTTGTTTAGTTCAGTTTGACTGAAGCGGAAACTGGAATGATAGGTTCCCTTTAAAGGTCAACATAGAAAGCAAGAAAAATACAAACATATGTGTCTGTTATACACAGTTGCCAATTCAGTAAACGTGTAACCTTATTTAGAAATGGGCAGCCTTTCCATTTGCAAAGTGTTGGTTGCATCCATTCAAACCGCAGGTATTAACAAGATAGCACAAAAATATATACCAGTCACGGTACACAAAAAAATATTTGAAGAGGATAACATTTCAAAACCTACCGTAAGTACAGATCTTAATTGAATGCTCTTTAAAAATTTGATCCCTTTACTAACATGTTATTGAATTTCTGGCCGGCTGTCCAATGGGACCTGAAAGGAGACATACAAGGGTCGTAGATGGAACTAAAGGCTTATTTTTGCACAGACTACATGGGTGAGGGCAAAATAGATAGCAAAGGCTGAAATAAGGGCCTAGGGATGCAAAGGGACCAAGCAGGTCAAGGGTGGGGTATAACCAGCGAACTGCTATTTTGGGGTTTACACACTACAGCCCAACATGTTATACTGTAACCCCCACAATGCTAGATGGCTGAGAGGGAGTTATGGAAGTTGCAGACAAACAGCAACTTGGGGGATGCGGGACAACATCCCTGTCCAATACATTGCTATTCACAGTTCAATGGTACGGTTATGATTAGAACAAACAAGCATATATCAATATTATTCCGGGTGACAGAAGACACACTTCTCACCTCAACATCGTCATAGTGAGCAGGAAGGCCCTGGGAGTCAGGAGGTGTGATATACACATTACTCCCTACTAGCGTACCAAAAAAACTCTCCAGCTTTTCCATAATGTGCCACAAGTCATCCTGAAATTAAAACCAAGAAAGAATTACCTTCAATATTCATTGGTAAAAGGGATACTAAAGGCACCAAAACGACTTTAGCTTAATAAAGCAGTTGTATAGATCATGCCCCTGCTCCTGTTTTACCGCTCTGTTCTCTTCCACTGAGGAGTTCAATAACTTTGTTAATACAGCCCTAGTCACACCTTCCTGCATGTGACCTACACATCTTTCCTAAACAGTTCCTGTAAAATAAGTTCTAATGTTTACACTTCCTTTATTGCACAGTCCGTTTAATTTAGAATTTATTATCTCCTGCTCTATGAATAGCCTTCTAGATTCTGTAGTAGCTTCCTGTGTGTGTAAAAACTTCTAAAGCAAGTTAACATCTGATTTAACCATATATTTTTTTCCATTCAGCTTTGAGTCACAGCCAGGGTTGGTGTGCCTAGAGCTGCATAAACAGAAATAAAAGGCAAAAAAGTGAGCTACACACCCAAACTGCTTCATTAAGCTAAAGTTGTTTTGATGCCTAAAGTATTCCTTTAAGTGTACAAAACAGATCAATTCCAGATAACATGCCAAGTCATGTGTCCTTAGTGCCAGTATTGAGAGCTCAGGAAGGTTTCCTGCAAACACTTTGGCTGTCTATGGCAATCCTTTTCATACTTCTGTGAACAAAGGGCATTGAATAGAGAGAACATAAAGTCGCCGGGTTCGACCACGAAATCTCTGTTAATATGTGCTTCCTTAACAAATGTTCCCATGCTATAAACTAAATATACAGGTTTATAGATAGATTTAAATGTGATGCTCCCCCAGGCAAGTCACAGAGTAAGGCACTACTGGAATGTAGAACTCTCCTGTTTAGTATGGAATTTAGTTGTGACAAACAAACCTCTAAATCAAAGGCGGTATTAATGCATATATGACTTTATATGTAATATAACTCCCACCTAACATAGCTTGGATATCTATTATATAGCTCACATCTATTCTAAACCAGGAAACAAAGTATAAAAAATAAATAAACGTGGTATATCACTTAATAATACCACGATCCCTAGACTAATTTGCCTAGAGGAATTCATGCTGCCTAGTGATAGAGCAGGGGTGGCCAAAAGATAGATCCCTAGATGTTGCACAACTACAACCCCCATGATGCTTTGCATGCCTTTAGAATGACAAAGCATCATGGAAGCTATAGTGTTAAAACATTTGGGGATCTACCTTTTGGGCACCACTGATTTAGAGGAACACTCCACAGACAGATTTTAAGAGAAACTGGCACCTTTATAAAACCTACCAGCTATCAAACCAAATGCGCTTTTATCTGACTGCAAAGTGCGCTTCTACGAGAGAAGCACTGGATTCAATTATAAGCACTGCATGCCCAGCGCAGCGATTGCCATAATGTGCCGTCTCCACTCTATAGGCCATTGATCTCCTGGTGGGGGCAGTAATCTAAATTATGAGTACCGCACTCCAACGCAATACTTGAATGTATTTAAAATAACTCTGGAGAGTTTCACTAAAGCCTGCTCTGGGAACCTAAAGTCTAAGAATACAAAAGGAAAATCCCCAAACATAAACCTCTAGAGTCAGTAATCCAATGTGTGTCTCATCACTCCGGTATTCAAAGGGTTAAGGCAAAAAAGTTAAATGAAAAGGTAACTTAGAACATGGTTACATTACTTACATTAAATCTCTGTGGCTGGTGAAACTGGATTGTTGCTTTTCCACTGCCAAAGTCTTTTAAAAGATGGGGATAACTAGCTCTGCCGTGTCTGGGTAAAACCACTTTCTTGCCATTTCGACACTTACACAAGTTCACGTCTTTTCCATAATACACCTTTTTGCCAGCAACTCTCTTCAAGTCTGACAGTTTGAACAGAGAAGAGTAGAAATCGGAGGTGACCGGGTCATCTCGCTGAATCAGCAATGGTTTCTTTTCCCAGTATTCACTGAAGAATTCGTTGGGTTTGATTGGGGAGATTAAACTTTCAAAGAGGCTTGCAGGGCTCGAGAAATTTAGAGGGGATTTGGGTGAATCGTCCTGCGACCGGGGCAATTTGGGAAGAGGGGCTGTATTTTTAGTATTTTCTAAAGCTGTAAGACTTGCTCTCTTCGCCATGTTCTGTGTGAGTAAGGAAGAAAACCAAAACATGCAATGACTTTGTATCAAAGAAGCATTAAAAAGACAGATCAAACAAGAGAATCACTGAAGCTCCATGTAAGACGCTCCCTGTCCATCTTGTTCAGAACAATGTAACTCCTTAACCCCTTAAGGACCAAACTTCTGGAATAAAAGGGAATCATGTGTCCTTAAGGGGTTAAGGATCAGTCTTAGGCATATTAGCAGCAATTGTTACATTCCAGATGTGTTCGTGTATATCAAGGGTTTAAGTGAATGTCATATTTTCCAAAGACCTCAGTAGGCGACATGACTTATTAGTGGACTCCTTTGTAGGGGCACAAATACAACAAAGAGATCAATGTATTATTCTTAAAGAAGAAGCCTTTTACTGACGCTCTTAACCAATGAGTACGATCTTGTCTTGCTCTGAAGTGACATCTGGCTTTGCCGGAAGAGAAGACCAGATGTGACGTAGGTGCCCACAGAAACCCAGTTAAGGTGTCAAACCATGCTAAAACAGTTTTGACAAATTACTGTGAAATAGCGCCAAGCCATTCCTGGCACCATAACCACTACAGGTGGTTATGGTGCTGGCAGTTTTCCTTTTACCATACTGGGAAAGTGTCCCATATTTCTTTCCTGTGATATTTTAGATCTGTCTACAACATACGTGTAAATGTTAAGTTTATAAAATAAAAATCCATTATTTTTGACAAAGCAAGATCATGATTTTACAATTTATTGGTATGGTGTACAAGGCAAATTTAGGATATACTCCACCTATAGCAGCTTTCTACCGGCCAGCCACTAGAAAGACTTCTGGGTCGTTAGGTGACTTTTGGTCGCCTGAAGCAGGACACCCTCACGCTATGCATGAGGACATCCAGTGTCACCCGAAACCTCATAGGAAAGCACTGTATAATGCTGTCGTATGGAGCTGCTGCTCCAATGCTAGTGCGCCCATTTCCTCGCATGCGCAATAGGTCTCTCCCACTGATGTCAGGAGGAATGAAGGCAGAGTCCAAGCCAGCAAGAAGGGATATCAGCGTTGGACTCAGATAAGTGGCAGAAAGGGTTTTTAACCCCTCTTGCACCATGGAGGGGGACGGGGACACTATAGTGCCAGGAAAACAAACTTTGTTTTAAAGGCACATAGGGAACCACAGGAACACTTATCCACAAATCCAAAGTGACGTACCTCCATGATTTCCTGGGCACATTTAATTTAGTCATCCTGATGGGCAGCACATGAAACATGCTACCCTGTCATATGTAGTATTTTATAAACTGAAGGGTTTCTGATTAATCACTTGATGTCCTCCCTACCTTTAGCAACTATATTGCACATATTACAGGACAACACTTTCCATATGCTTCCCATCAGTTTGTAAAAAAATATCTATCCAGGTAAACATGGATGATCTGTCATCTCCAATGGAAAAAAAAAAAAAATCCACCATGATTTCATTGACACTATTTAAATAAAGGACCACTATAGTGCCAGGAAAACATACTCGTTTTCCTGGCATTATGGTGCCCTGAGGGTGCCCCCACCCTCAAGGACCCCCTCCTGCCGGGCTCTGGAGAGAGGAATGGGTTAAACACTTACCTTTCTCCAGCGCCGGGCGGGGATCTGTACTCCTCCTCTCCTCCTTGCTCGCGACGTCATCGGCTGAATGCGCATGCGCGGCAGGAGCCGCGCGCGCATTCAGCCGGTCGCATAGGAAAGCATTTACAATGCTTTCCTATGGACGCTTGCGTGCTCTCACCGTGATTTTCACAGTGAGAAGCACGCAAGCGCCTCTAGCGGCTGTCAATGAGACAGCCGCTAGAGGAATTGGAGGAAGGATTAACCCTCAGTATAAACATAGCAGTTTCTCTGAAACTGCTATGTTTATAAAAAAAAAAAAGGGTTAATCCTAGAGGGACCTGGCACCCAGACCACTTCATAAAGCTGAAGTGGTCTGGGTGCCTAGAGTGGTCCTTTAATGTTGATGAACACCATATGAAAAGCACTGCCTTGTAGCGTATAAAATTAAAATGCTGCAGGAAAGAAATCATGGCCTTAAAGGAACATTCCAAGCACCATAACTACTGTCTGCTGTGGTGGATATGGGGCAAAGGGTTCCCTGGTCCTCTCTCACAGTAAGCAAGCTGTTTAAGAGCCAGCAGTACCTGCAAAAAGCTTCCCTTAGCTCCACTGGTTAAATCCCTGCCATGCAGGGCTGGCACATTGTCTCCGGCACCGCCAAGCTTTCATTGGTGCCACAACATGTGGCTGCAGGTAAGGCACTTGTCAGTGCTCAGGTACGTTGTCTGTAGTGGTTATGGTGCTCAGAGTGTTCCTTTTATCAAAAGAGGTATCTTACAGCATATGAACTCTGCATACTGCAGGGCAGGCCAATTCCAGATGCTGCCTTCATGAAGAAACCATATACAGGAAAGCATTTTGCATCTGACAACCCTAAGCACCATATGTATTGTAAACATGAGGCCATGTGATCAGCTGAACACCATGGGAGCCCTAGCCACCCTATCCCTTTACTTTATTTAAACCATGAAGACATGTGTTCATGCTGAGCAGGATACCAGCAAGGAAGGGGCTTGTGCGCTCTCTGCAGGGCTCTGCACGTGTTTCTGATAATAAGCATACTGTCCCTTTAAATTGGAGGGCTTATTAAAGATGCCATTTCCAGATGTGAGCTGCCCTGTGCCATGCATTATCTATCAGCCTGCCCAGTGCCTCCTGGAAGCAGATCTCCCGAGCTCTCACCTTGCCAGCCCTGACCTGCACCAGCTGATCACTTCACCCACTCAGTGGAACGCACACCATGTGGCTGGACATTCTCTCCCAGCATGCCTTGCGGATTGAAGAGCCTACTCTTAAAGGGGAAATCACCTAAAATCAAGCTATACCTTCCCATAAGGAGGGCGACACCTAGTGGCTCAGAGTAGATACAGTTTGCAATGACTGCAATAGCCTCTCTCCCCCTCTCCCCAACTAGTAACTATTGTACAAGTTCTGAACCAAAACAAAATGTAAACAAAATCTGGAATGGAACTATATGTCTGTGCACCCATATATTACCTCTTTCATATTAAGTGCACCCACACTTATTATTTATCATTTTATTCAGGAGAAAAAGGGGCTTTCATTTCACAACAAATATTTATACATGCCACATAATTTAATATTAATAAAAACTAAAAATAGGAAATGTAGTTATTGTTTAAGTTCTGTGTGGCATTTTAACTGTGAATGTCATAGTACTGTTCGCTTTGACTGCAACAAAATACACATATTTGTATTCATCGATGTCCCAGAAGCTGTCCCGGACAGGCCATTGGGCAAACGCCCAATGGGCCGCGATGGCCCGTGGCCGCTGCCGGTGAGGGAGATCAAAGGATCAGAGATGTCCCTCAGCAGCCCCTGGCACTTTATTGGGGAAGCCAGCAGCGGAGGGAGCGAGAAGAGGATCCAGGAACTCCAGCCTTCAGCCATGGCAATATTCTGATCTTGCGAGAGGTGTAAACTCTAGCCCCACCAGACAACCAGGGATTACTAGAAATGATCCCCCTCCCAGACAAAAGGTAAGAAGGAAGGGGGAATGTAAATAATATAATATACAGTACAGTATGGTTTTTTTTAATTAAAAAGCAAAACAAAATATATATGCTGGCTTTAACTGCCCTCCACACACAATAACTCCCCACTCTCTCTCACACATACACTAACCTCTCAAATACAAACTGCACCCCTCCCAAATACACACTCCACTCCACATACACACACTGCAACACACACACTACACCCCTCATATACACACTACATCCCTCACACACACACACTATACACACTGAACCCCTCCCACACACACTGCACCCCTCATATACACACTACATCCCTGACACACAAAATAACTTCCCTTACACACACACTGACCCCTCACACACACATTGCACACTATATACAAACTGCACCTCTACCCCCCCAAACACACACTGCACCCCTACACACACTACTTGCCTCACACACATTGCAAACCACACACATACACACACTGCATTCCTTACTCACTCACACACTGTACCCCTCACATACACACATACACACTGCACCTTTACACACACATTGCAACCCCTCACACACACACTCTCTACAGCCCCTAGCCACACATGTTACTCTACAAACACAACACCGACCTATTTACACAAAATACCACACCACAATCAGCTTACTCTACACACACACAATCCCACAAGCAGGCTCCAAACACATACACAATATGCTTTCCTAGCCCTTTTATCCTCTGGTATCCCACCTCTGGAAACACCAGAGTCAAATCACAAGCAAACACAGCGCAAGCATGTTAATATATTTGCGTGCGCTATGCAGAATACACAGGACCTTTTTCTCATGCAAGAGCTTTTAAGCAGGGCTGTGCGCATGGGCTGCCCTGGAAGAGCATTGAACCAACATACTCACTTTGAGAGGGAATGTGCTTGTCATTGGTGATAACAAAGCACCCCCTCTATGGCTGCACCCCTTCTCAGTGGGCTGTTGTGGTTCAAATATGCCCTGGTCAAATTATTTTACCAGTCCGGCCCTGCCCATGAGTACAACAGTAAACCCATGTACAGATTTCATGGTGTTTGCGAAAGTTAACAGGTCAAATAAAGAGCTTGTCCATTTCAGTTTTCACACATTGAAATTTGCCAAATTGGTTTTCTGGGCCTATGTTGCCTTTGAGACCTTATGCCCATGACTGCTAGGCGAATTAGGCATCCATCTAGAGAGCACTGGCCTGAGGGCACAATCACTGGGTGACCGGAAGGAGAAGAGCACACTGCCCAACACTCCCCTCTTTCCAGTCGCTCCATGTAGCATAGCAAAGCCGAGGACCACGGTAAAAGATCTTCTGTATCCTCTACCCGGTCTGACAATAAGCTGCTCGCTGAGAGCACCAAGCAGCTTCCTGTCAGTCCGGATAGAGGCAACAGAAGGTCCTCTACCGCACTCCACTCAGCCACGCTACTTGGAGACAAGTGGAGCAGTAGGATCAGGAGGGGAGAGGGAGAAGAGACCACAAAAGGAGGAGGGTGGAAAAAGAAGTACACAGAGGGACTGCAGGACAAAGAAACACAGAAAGGAGCAGGTGGGGAGAAAGAGACCCACAAAAGTGCTGGAGGCAAAAAAAGATCCACACAAGTGCTGGGGGGAAGAGACACACAGAGTGGCCGGAGAAGGGGAAAAAGGGACACACAAAGGGGTTGGAGGATGAAGAGACAAAATGGAGCTGATGGAAAGAGACATACAAACACAGGGGACAATGAAACACACAGAGGGGCTGGAGGGGGACAAATAGGCACATAGATGGGCTGGAGGGACAAAGTCACACAGAGGGTATGAGGTAGACAAAGAGAGACACAGAGGAGCTGGGGGCAAAAAAGAAACAAAAAAGGGCTGGGGGTGCAAAGACATACAAAGGGGCTTGGGGGAAAGAGATCCACAAAGGGGCTAGGGGACATAAAAAGACCCACAGAAGTACTGGGGGGAGGGTGGGGGTAGAAACACATTTCATTGTAAGTGTGTGATATGCATTTTTATATGTGAATAGTTTGCTTACATAGAAACATAGAATGTGACGGCAGATAAGAACCATTCGGCCCATCTAGTCTGCCCAATTTTCTAAATACTTTCATTAGTCCCTAGCCTTATCTTATAGTTAGTATAGCCTTATGCCTATCCCACGCATGCTTAAACTCCTTTACTGTGTTAACCTCTGCCACTTCAGCTGGAAGGCTATTCCATGTATCCACTACCCTCTCAGTAAAGTATTGCTTCCTGATATTATTTTTAAACCTTTGTCCCTCTAATTTAAGACTATGTCCTCTTGATGTGGTAGTTTTTCTTCTTTTAAATAAAGTCTCCTCCTTTACTGTGTTGATTCCCTTTATGTATTTAAATGTTTCTATCAAATCCCTCGTCTCGTCTTTCCTCCAAGCTATACATAGAAAAGTTATTAGTTCATTAGTTATATGTTGGGGGACAACCCAGGCAGTACCCCTGCAGCAATCTTGCAATGTGGACGATCCAAGTCATGTGATGCAGAGTGACGCCTTCAATTGTCCAGAAGCACCCCCCCGATCAAAGACAAGTATAATTCCAGGTCTTCACCGGCACTGATGTTAGGACGTGTCATTATGCCCTAACAGTGCTAAAGCCAATGCCCTTCAGGATGTAAAGACACGTCCTAACATCAGCATCGGGTTAAGGGAACACTCCAGAGCCCTAGAGCACTTTAGCTTGCTGTAGTGCTTTATATGCAAAGAGTCTGTCCTCTTTTTTAATTTTACAAAAAGTGAATATTTCATTTTTATAAATTAACCTGTCACACACCCCTGGGTGTCAATCACAGAACCGGCCCTGCTACTTCCTGGTAGTTATGTGCAGTACAGCTAAACTCAAGAGGCAGCCAATTTGCCAATGCACCTGCCTTGCAAAGACTTCTCATTGAGCTGCATTGGAAAGTCTGTGATTGGACAGCCACAGAAAGTCTGTACAGGGTTATAAGCTTGCAAGACATCTGCAGCTTTTTGCACATTGTTTTTAGATTTGCCCCAATGAAAAAATGCATAATTAGATGCATGCGTGTTTACTTTTGCAGTATATCTACTAAATACTGGTTTCTGTATATATTGTATTTGGGCTGTTTCTTGTACCTTTTAAAGAGGTAAAATAAGCAGGTATTGGACCCCCACCTACTTTTTATTATTGATTATATTTAGCTTACTTACCTTTAAAATTTCAGGTACCTCAAGAGAGCACACCAAACAGTAACCATTCAATCTGGCCTATGGCGTCTAATCCCATAAACTCTTGACAAACCGAGGTTAATGTGAAAAATTGTTTAACCATAGCCATATTTCTTCTTATTACATAGTGCGGATACTGCTAACAGTTTATACATACCCCAATACCTCCCAACACAGGGATGTGTGAACTCGGGACAGGTGTAGAGGCCAGTACAAGGCATGTTAGTGGCGGTATAAATATTGTGTCACACAATGTGGGATGTTGAGGGGGCAGACAGACAATAGGGCTGATGGGAGGACAGCACCAACAGAATTTTGACTTTCTAGGGAGGAAAAAGACACACAGTTGGACTGTCTGTAGGGACACAGTGGGTGCATCTAAAGCATACCTCCCAAAAGTTCAAATGGACAAAATGGGACACTTTAAATGTAGGGATGTGAGTGTACGTCATTCCTAAGTTTTGCACAGGGTACCTGAAGGCCTATGGCTGATCCTCTGTCCCTGCCTAACACTGCGCTTGCATCTGGTCCCCCGTCTCCATTTTTTTTTTTAACCCTCTCTACTCCTCAGTTTTAGTTCTCCAATTTTCCATCTCCTAATGTCCATCCATTGTTTTTCTCTGTCTCACTTTCCCCCTTTCCTCTGCTCTCCTTTCCCTACATGTGTAAGTGTGAAGGGAGTTTCTTGTTCAAAGTGTGTGATGGGAATTGTGTTTGAGTTTGTGGGTCACTGCGTGTGGATAATGGGAGTTGTGGGAGACACAGTATAATTGATTATTCTATTGTCATGACTATACTCGTTTATTCTATTATAGACTTGTCAGAACATTGATAAATACGGGTGACCGATACAGTGGTGGTAAGGCAATCAGTCAAAAGTTCTCAAAAGCCCCACATGCCCCTTTGCTCTGCCGTAGACCTGCATTTGTTTTCTCTTCATACTCACACCTCTCACGCTTACCTTTAAAACTTCTCTAGGGCTGTGCCATTCCTATGGAATTCCCTTAGACTCTCACCCAGTCTCCGTTCCTTCAAAATATCATTAGAAACGCACTTTC